AGGAAAAGGGTTTTTGCCTGGTTGAGATAAAGGATAGGCTATACAGGGCATTGACTTACATTAATTTCCTGTGCATGTGTGTTGTACCGTTCCTGCTTTTAATTCTTCTTTGAACTAGACCTTTTCTCTAGTTCCCGGTCCCTTTCTCTATTGGCCTCAGTGCTTTAAGGTACTTGCTTTAGTTTTTCTGCGTTAAGGCAACAAAGTGCTAGCTAATTTTTTTAGATGTTCTTACCTATGACTCACCGCTTCCCTTGGTGGTGCTAAAGCTTGTTTGTAATTGCTCAAAGTCCAATCCCATTGTTGGTGTTTGCCCTTGATCTAATGTCCACATATGAGGGAGAACATACGAATTTTGGTCTTTTGGGCCAGGCTAACCTCACTCAGAAATGATGTTCTCCAATTCCATCCATTTACACAGTGAAATGATAACAATTTCGTTCTTCTTCATGGCTGCATAAAATTCCATTGTGTATAGATACCACATTTTCTTAATCATTGGTCAGTGGTGGGGCATCTTGGCTGTTTCAAATAACTTGGCTATTGGTGAATAGTGCCGCAATAAACATGGGTGTGCAGGTGCCTCCTGGAGTAAGCCTGTGTCACAGTCTTTTGGGTATATCCCCAAGAGTGGTATTGCTGGATTCAAATGGAGATAATGTGTAGCTTTTAAGTACTCTCCAAATTTTTTTCCAGAAGTGGTTGTACTAGTTTACATTCCCACCAAACAGTGTAAGAGGGTTCCTTTTTCCCCTGCATCCTCGTCAACACCTGTTGTTGGTGGTGTATTGCTGATGATGGCTATTCCTAAACAGGGGTGAGGTGGAATCTTAGTGTGGTTTTAATTTTGCATTTCCTTTATGTGTTCTAGAGATGGGTGAGTCATTTGGTTCATGTGTTTTTTGGCCATTTGAATTTCTTCTTTGAGAAAAACACGTTTGTTTAGGTTTCACTTGCCATTGTCTTGATTGGTTCATTAGTTTTGTGGAGAATTTAGTTTTTTTAAGTTCCTATATATTCTGGTTATCAGTCCTATTGTCTGATGTATAGTTTGGGCAAATATTTTCTGCCCACTCTGTGGGTATTTCGTTTCAAGTTTTTTTAAAGGAAAAAAAAAAAAAGGAAGACCATGTTCTTTTGATAAACAAGAAGCTTTTTAGGCTTTGAATGAGGTCCCATGTATCTATGCTATCCCCTCTTAGTTTTGCTGTGCTTGGCTGGGTTGTCGTAGGAGAAAGTTGTCTGCTTTAACCTATGGCCTGGACTAACTCCAAGTATTTCGGCCTAATGCTTTCCTGCATCAACTTTTAGAGTTTGTTGGTTTGATATTAAGAATCGCTTGATCCATTTGGTTAATATTGGTATAGGGTGATGATACATGGATCCTAGGTTTTTTCACAGTTTTTTGCAGACTGCTCCCGTTTTTCCCAGCAGTTTTTGTTGAAGAGGCTGCTATTCTTCCCATCATATATTGTAGCGTCTTTGTCAAAAGACAAGTTGGTTATAGTTGGTGGTGTGGCTTCGTAGTCGTGGTGCCTCTATTCTGTTCGCACTGGTCTTTGCATGTCCGTTTTTGTGCCAGTACCGCATGCTGTTTTATTGTGCTACTGCTTTGTAATGAGTAGTTTGAAAAGTCAAGGTATTGTGATACCTCCTCATTGTTTTTTTGACTGAGTAATTGCCTTGGTTCTTCGATGGGCCCTTGTTTGTTTCCATATAAGGTTTAACGGTCCGCTTTTTCAATCTCTTTAATGAAATGTCATTAGAATTTTGATGGGCATTGGCATTAAAGCATGTAGATTACTTGTTGGGAGTATGCTGACATTTTACTAATGTTGAATTCGTACCAATGCCATGAGCATGGGAGACTCTCTCCACTTTTCTATAGTCTTGCCTCAATCTCTTTCTTCAGAAGTGGTGATAGTTTTTCCTTGTAGAGGTCTTTCACATCTTTTGTTAGGTTTAACACCTAGGTTATTTGATGTTTTTTTTTGAGGCTTATTCTAAATGGAATTGTTTTCATACATTCCTTTTTCGCGTTTGGCGCTGCATTGTTAAGTGTATAGAAATGCTAATGAGTTTTTCTTATGTTGAGATTTATATCGCTGCTACCCTTGCTAAAGCTATTGATGATGTCTAGAAGCTTCCCCTGAGTAGAGTTTTTTTGGTCGCCTTTTAAGGTATACGGATGCAATGTCATTCTTGCAATGGAGGGATATTTTGACGAGTTTCTTTAAACCTATTTTATTCCTTTATTCCTTCTTCTTGCCTAATTGCTCAGGCTAGGAAATCCAGTAACTATGTTTGAATTGTAACTCAACTTGTACATAGAAGATTAGTTGGCCATCAAAATAACAGGATCAAGGCACAGGATTCTTCAGTAATCCTGTGTTTTAAGTAAGTGGAAAAACACCCATGCATAAGTGTCTTCATTTGTACATACAGTTTTTGCTAGATTTCTCTAATATATTGGTAAGTCACCACCCAAGCCAACTGCTGTGCAATTGAAGGAAGGGATACTGTCTGGGTCGTCCATGTTGTTTATTTCTGTTCAATTTGAGAATGTTTTTTGTTGATACTTCAAAGATTGGCATGATAGTAGCCTAATGGTAGGGTTGAGTGATAGCCAATATTGTATCACACAAGAAAAGATTGTGGACTGGTGTAGTGGTACATCCGTAATCCTGGCACTTGGGAGGCTGAGGCAGGAGAATCATGAACTGGAGGCCAGCCTAGACTACATAGTGAAACCCTATCTTGAAAGGAAGGAAAGAAGGAAGAGGAGGGGAGGGGAGGGAAAAGGAAGGGAAGGGAAGAAAAACAAAGGTAGGGTATTCACGCTATTCATTCGTTCAACAAATGTTTGCATCTTGGGGGTAAGGGAGAGGGGAAAGAGGATCAAAGTATGCAATATATATATATATTTTTTTCAAAGACAACATAAGGAACCCCACAAAACCCTGTTTGAAAAAAGGGAGAGGAGGAAGATGGAAATGGGAGTGTAATGGAGGGGGTGAACTTGTTCAAAGTACACTGTGTAACTGGGTTTACCACAATGGAACTCCCTCATGTTATTAATATATACTAATTCAAAATAAACTAGACTATTAAAAAAGAAATGTTTGTAAATGTTAAAAGGATGTCTTATGAAAAGCAAAGCCCAAAATATCACTGTATTGTGAATCAGCATGAGTTTCATGATACTATACTTCTATTTGTGAATTGTGCATGGCACTACTGGCCTCAAAGAAACCCCCTATGGCAGAGCAGGCTGTATCCTGGTACTATACCATCCTCACTCTTGTTTTTCAGCCACCATTTGTAATGGAGAAGTGGATTGTGGGAATAGTGGAAGATCAGACTGTGGAGTGCACTGTCATGTATGAGGTAAGCTCCAAGGAGGAAGGCTACTGACTTCACCACCAGTTAGTGAACTTAGATTTATCTGGGTTAGAAATCATATAGCAAACATGAATATGGGAAGATGAATATAATTTCTCTAATAACATGTTGGGAAGGAAAGAGAACAGGATAAACTTATCTGAGAGAAACTGGGTTAGCATCTCATTCATTCAGTTATTGATTGAACTCCTTCTACACAGTATGTAACAAGTCAGGTAACTGGGAAAGCCAAAAAGTGAATGAAACAGATCTTTGCCCTCTTGGAGCTAAAAGACTAGGTGTGAGAGGAGATCAATGATTCTTCAAAAGACTAGAGCACAACCCCTATTACTACCTGGGGAGAAACCATATTATCAAAACAGATGAGCAGATTCCATACATTTTGATATGGAAAGATAGAAGAATTTATACTTTTAAAAAATATGCTATTAAAATTAAAATTCATACATTTAACTGCACCTGCTAGTAGGTACTGTTCTGCAGTTAGGATAGATAAGGTCTGTTCTCTCTGAGGCTTTTATTCTATTGGGGAGAGATAGAGAATAAATAAGTCACAAATAAATAGATGCTATCACAGAACGATAGGTGGTAAAGGGAAAATAGCTTGGGGTGTTAGATTGGGTGGTCAGGGAGCAGCAGAAGAATAACAAGTGCAAGTCCCCCAGCACAAAATACATTGACAAAGCTAGATAAATGAGTGGAGCCAGATCATAGGGCCCCTATAGGGAGTTTGGATTTATAAGCACCACAGGAAATAAATGGGGTATTTTAAGTCATAGAAAGACCTTATTATTTTTCTTTATCAACAAAATCTTCTGTATAATGTAGTTAACAATACTTTATACCTAAAAATTAAGAGGATAGATTTCAAGTTACATGTTTTTAAACATTTTTAAAAATTCAGATTAACTGTTAGAAAATGATCTCTCTATAAATATATTTCAACAATGTATGTCCAATAAATATATTTAAAACTAATCATTTTGTAAAAATTAACAGTATCTTCCTAGTTTGTGGGACATTGACCTTATAAAATAGACGAAATCGCTGGGTACCAGTGACTCACATCTGTAATCCTGGCTACTCAGGAGGCAAGAGAGCTGAAGGATCATGGTTCAAAGCTAGCCTGGGCAAATAATTCTCAAGAACTTACCTTGAAAAAACCCAACACAAAAAAGGACTGGTAGGGCAGCTCAAGCAGTAGAACTCTGTGTAGTGTGGGCTGGAGGGAGGCAGTTACAGAGTCTGGGGACCCAGGAAGATATTAGTGAGCACCTGTCATCGATAGGTCATGCATTCACTCATCCACTCACTCATTCATTCATTGCTTCAAGAATGTGTCATTAAGGATTTGCCCTGAATTAGGAACTATAAGGGCCAAATACACTTGCTCTGTCTCACTAACCTCATGGAAATACTGAAAGATAGACACAGTTTTCTTCATTTTGCAGACAGGGGAAACGGAGAGATGAAAGAAGTCCTGAAGTTCAGGGTGTTGAGTTACAGAGTTGGTGGGGTTGCACCATGTCTTCCAACTGTAAAACCACTTTCTACTAGAGCCTGGGCAATTCATCTGTTAGCTTCCCGGTGACTGCAACAAGATGTAGGAAGTCAACCTCAAAGTGGACTTTCTGAGCTGCTGCATGGGATGGCTTTCCTGAACTGTCACGGTTTGGATCTTGAATACTAGAGATCCAAGCCTTGGCCACCCACGATGTTGCCTGGAAGCCAATAGTATTATTGCAATATTTGTCCTCACCGGAAAGGCAGACAGGTTATCAGGAATGAGGTACTGAGGAGCACCATTAGTTACTGTTTCTCCTCTCCTGTTTAGACTCCATGATGACAAGTCACTTGTGTCTGTGTTTCTCATTTCCCTGATTTTAACATTTATTTCATAACTGTATTGAATCCTGAAGACTTCTGTTTGTGTGTGTGCGAGGGGTGGGATAGAAGCCAGGGCCTTGTGCCTGCTAGCAAGTACACTGCCACTGACCCCTGGAGGCCCTTCAATCTACACTGATTCAAAATATCTGGTGAAGAGGGAGCTTTCAGACAAGGATGTGTCTTGATCTGGTATCCTCTCCTTTCTGGGAACTTGATTTCTTTACTCTTGACTCTGGCTCACTCTGCATCAGTTACCCTTCACCCTCCCTGTGGAGAACTAGTTCCATTTTGTCCCCCATGTGCAGCTAAGTACCTTGTGCAAAAGCATTCTTGGGCAGATGTTCATTTATTCAACAAAATATCTTTTCAAGCACAAAAAACAGAAGAAAGCATTTTATATTTTTTATCAAAGAGATGAGATTTACCAAGTTTTATAAATTCTGGGAAAAGACAACTACATTTCTAATTACTATAACTTAGTGAGGAATATGTTACAATCCATCAAGGATAAAGTGCTATAATCCATTAAGAAAGTAGCTCAATGGAAGAGCACATACTTAGTTAGCATTTGTGAGGCCTGGATTTAATCCCCCAGTACCACAAAGAAAGGGGAAAGGGAGGGAGGGGGGAGGGGAAGAGGGAGAAAAAGAAAAGGAAGAGGAAACAGAAGAAAAATAAAGTCTGTAATATACTAAGGAATAAGTGGTTAAAATTTTCCTCTTAATCAAATTCACATATTTTGAACATTTTACCTAATACATTGTGACTGTGCTCTCATTAAAGTGACATAATTACTTGGGTTTCTTTCCTTCCCATTTTACAAATGCATATTGCTTGATCATCAGTTTCTTTATTATTTTTTTTAACAGAGTGATGTTAGGTCTCCAAAAAGCACTAAGCATGTCCATTCAATTCAGTGGAGTAGAACCAAACCTCAGGATGAAGTAAAAGCAGTCCAGCTTGCCATCCAGGCACTATTCCCCAACTCCGAGGGCAACCCCGGCAGCAGGTCTGACTCAGGTATGTTAGTGCTCAAGTACTACATGTGTGCCAGCATCCAAAAGTCAGTTGTGAGATGCTCGTCACAGAGATAAGTGCCAGTCTGTGGATAGACCCAGATTTCTTACATACTACTTCCTTCTCATACTTTTGTAGTATTGATTAAATAAAGAGGTTTTATGGACAGTAGTATTGATAGGCATAAATATGAGCACATTCTAATTAATTTATCATTTGGATAATGGATAAAAGTTGGAAAATACTGATTAATGATTAATGTCTGCATTTTTAGTTTCCAAAACTGTGTAGATAAAAATGTGACTCTTTTATGTCCAGCAAACATTTCTACAAAGCCACTCCTGTCACCAAGACTCCTTGAGCACTAAACACCATTGATGCATCAAAACATGGGAATGATAGGCAGAAGGAGAGAGGGAGGGAGGGAGAGAAGAAGGAAAGGATGGAGGGGAAAACAAGGGTAAGGAAGGAAAGAAAAGAGGATAGAGAAAGAGAACACTTGAAATGCATATGATGGAGAGTGGTGATGGTAACTATAGCCCCTGTAAACAGACAATTTAAAGTCATTATTTGGTAGATTTAAGGAAGAGGTTTTGACTCCCAGCTTTGTAGATCCACGAGCTCTAATAACTCTTGCAGGACTGAGATGTGCTAACAAATACTTTCAAGATGGATATATACAAATGCCTGGCATTTCCCTCTTAACCATGAGAAAATTATCTGCGAAACACTCCAGAAATACATGTTTTCTCATCAGTGCATTTTTTTTCTCAAGAGAGACAATATATATATGTCACAGGTATACACCTGTGACACTGTCAAGGTTCTTGGTAGACATGGAGTCAAAGTGACCCTGAGGGCTGGTGTCACTGAGGTATGATAGCCTACCCTTGTGTCCTCCACTGTAAGACTTAACTATCAAGCATACCAGATATTCTTAAATATCCACCAGCCACGGTGCCCAACCTGGACAAATTCTCTGACAGCATGCTGAACCCACCAACCTTTGTCAACACAGTTGCTTTGATTACATTCTTTTTACAAATAATGAGCAGAAGACATTCTGACCACTGAGCTTAGGTTTGGGTTTTTATCAAGATTCCTTGGCCAGCTGCACGTTATCACACATCTTTTTGGGGTTTGCTGTTTCTATAGAGACTATCCATGCAACAGGTGTCGGTCCCACTGGCTTCCCTCTCAGATCCCACTCTGTTTCTAAGTTCTTTTGTATTTGTTAATTCAGTGAGTCTTGCCCTGCATACTACTATCACAACTTTAAGAACTTTTTCTCTAACAGCTCATGTTTACATGGCATATTTTACTTCTGGAGGGCTTTCACAGCCATGATCCTGTTTGATCCCTATAACACCCCTATGAGACCTGTGGGGATCTTCTCTCTGCATTTCTGCTGTATTTTTCTCCTCCATTAGAGGCTGGTTTTCTCTGTTTCCCTACCCACATGACACAAAATACCTGCCAACAACTTCCAAGTTTTACATAGTTCAAATCCTACTATGTTGAGACTCACCAAATAGACATTTTATGAGCCCAGTTCCAGATTCCCTGGTGTAAAGCTTAGGTGTGCTATTTGTTTTCAGGCATTCTGCCATGGACCAATTAACTATAACAAAAGGGGAGGTAGGATATGGTAGACAGCAGAGTCCAAAGGATGGGTCAGGAGGTGAGGACATCTCTTGCAACATATCGTGACCACGTGGATGGAGGCAAGGCGGTATCCTTTCCAAAACAGAGCAGTGGAGGGATGCAGATTGGCTCAAGTGGTAGAGTGCCTGCATAGCAAGCACTGGGCACAGAGTTCAAGCCCCTGTACCACCCCCCCAAAAAAAATCCACCAAAATAGAGCAATGAGCAGATATCCAATGGGTGTCCTTTACTCCTCTTAAACAAATCGTTTAGGAGACAGTAAATTATTCTTTCTCTAGGAGTATGGACAGGAATAGTCATTCTCTCCCTATCTCCCACTGGAACTGCTCTGGATAAACTGTTTTCTTCTGATTATCAATTGAAGAGGTTGCAGAATTGACCTTCCTTTGACTTACTCCAGTTATTCATGAATTTGACACCGTCCATCTTCCGTGAGTCCTTTTTATTGTTTTTTTTTTCCAATTGATGTGAAGACTCCACCCAGATCTGGACACTACCCAGATTAGTTAAGATCTTTTTCAGCTGCAAGTAGCAGGAAACCTAGTTTCAACTGGCTTCCTCTGTATTTTCTTTTCTTTTTTTATTTTTTGGTGGTACTGGAGTTTGAACTCAGGGCCTCATGCTTGCTAGGCAGGTGTTCTACCACTTGAGTCATTCCGCTAGCCCTCAACTGGCTTCCTCTGAGTGGTTTTCAAAGCGTGGTCCCAGCACCAACAGCATCAAAGTCATCTGTGAACTTGTTAGACATGCAGTCTCTCAGGCCTACCCTGTGTCTATTTGGTGAGTCTCAACATACTAGGATTTGAACTATGTAAAACTTGGAAGTTGTTGGCAGGGATTTTGGGGTTAGGACCAGAAATGTGTATTTTAAAAATCCCTCCTGGGTGACTGAAAGGTACTCTGAAGTCTCTCAAACACTATTAATGAAATGTATTATCTTCTATCACAAGAGGTTCAGAGGTAGTGCAGGCTGCAGTAAGACAAAACAGTTCAACCACGGTCTGGTGGTTTCCTTCTTTCCACTCTGCCATACCCACTCCACTGTGTTGGAGTTGCCCGCAGCCTAGCTCCTCTCGTGTTTATAGTGATCGCAATGTCCGGGGAGGGGGGTGGTTAGTCCCTCCCTGTTCTCATGTGGGAGGGAGGAAAGCTTTCCTAGAAGCCCCCAGCAGACTCCCCTATACTGGTTCTCTTTAGCCAAATGGAGGAACTTGTCCATTCCTGGCATCAGCCTGTTTGCCTTGGGCTAATTCAAGTCTGACCCTAGAGCCAGAGGGTCATCAGGTTACCCGGATGCACACGGCTACAGGAGCTGGAGAGCAGATGAGCTCCAGGCTCTGTTGGAAAGTAACATGTCAGAGAAGTGGAGGTAAAGGAAAGGTAGCATTGTGATACCATGTGAAAGTTTCTAACATGGTCAAAATCACAGAAACAAAGCAGAAAGGCAATTGCCAAGGGATTGGGAAGGGAAGAGAGGAAGGAAGAAGTAGTGTTTAGTGGGTACAGACTTTCAGTGTTGCAGGAAGAGATAGTTTGAAGATCTGTTACACAGCAGTGGAAGTACACTTTAAATGGTATGGTTTTTATTGTGTCAAAACACATGTACACACACAACAAAAGTAGGCACTGTGACTGATTGGAGTCTGGGAGGAGCATCTAGACACAGGAGGTAACCTGTGTCTGCAAAGTCACTCACCCCAGGGGTGTGGGTAACCTGTGTCCGGGCAGTGAAGGAGACCACTTGCTGGCAGAGAGAGTGGGCATGCTCTGCTCCGCTACAGAAAGCTACATCATCTTCAGCAGGGTCAGAGACACACAGGACACAGCAGCTGGAACTCTAGCATGTCAGTGACACAATTGGGGCCCTGGGGAAGATGTCAGGTGTGAGGAACTTCCCTACTCACAGAAAGCTTCTTTTAACCTTCACTTCTCCCTACTTCCCACACAGCTGCCAAAACATTTGCCATTCCTGCCCGTCAGGCCCCTCTCCTCTACAGTACGCGCACTGTGTCTACACTCATCAACCGTCTCAACCTTCAGAACTTCGTTTCTTTTATCTGCCTTTAGGGTCTGTGAGAGTTTAAAGTGCTGTCTTTCTTTTTTTTTTTAATGACAGGAAGCCTTTGGTTTATGAAATATGCCCCTGCCACTCAAATGGCTCTTCTTGGTTTTGTGTCTGTGGTACTATGTTTGAACTCAGAGCCTACACCTTGAGCCACTCCACCAGCCTTTTTTTTTTTTTTTTTTTATTCATATGTGCATACAAGGCTTGGGTCATTTCTCCCCCCCTGCCCCCACCTCCCCCCTTACCCTCTACTCTGCCCCCTCCCTCTCCCCCCCCTCAATACCCAGCAGAAACTATTTTGCCCTTATTTCTAATTTTGTTGGAGAGAGAGTATAAGCAATAATAGGAAGGAACAAGGGGTTTTGCTGGTTGAGATAAGGATAGCTATACAGGGCATTGACTCACATTGATTTCCTGTGCATGGGTGTGACCTTCTAGGTTAATTCTTTTTGATCTAACCTTTTCTCTAGTTCCTGGTCCCCTTTTCCTATTGGCCTCAGTTGCTTTTAAGGTATCTGCTTTAGTTTCTCTGCGTTAAGGGCAACAAATGCTAACTAATTTTTTAGGTGTCTTACCTATCCTCACTCCTCCCTTGTGTGCTCTCGCTTTTATCATGTGCTCAAAGTCCAATCCCATTGTTGTGTTTGCCCTTGATCTAATGTCCACATATGAGGGAGAACATACGATTTTTGGTCTTTTGGGCCAGGCTAACCTCACTCAGAATGATGTTCTCCAATTCCATCCATTTACCAGCGAATGATAACATTTCGTTCTTCTTCATGGCTGCATAAAATTCCATTGTGTATAGATACCACATTTTCTTAATCCATTGGTCAGTGGTGGGGCATCTTGGCTGTTTCCATAACTTGGCTATTGTGAATAGTGCTGCAATAAACATGGGTGTGCAAGTGCCTCTGGAGTAACCTGTGTCACAGTCTTTTGGGTATATCCACCAGCCCTTTTTTGTGATTTTTTTTTTCAAGATAGGATCTCTTGAACTATTTGCCCGGGTTGGCCTCCAACCACAATCCTCCTGATCTCTGCCTCCTGAGTAGCCAGGATTACAGGTGTGAGCCACCAGCAGCACCTGGCCCAAACGATCTTAAACAGTAATTTCCAGAAGTGACAACACAACTAAGGAGGAAGAAGATGGGATTAGATGCAGAGAGACCTAGGATTATTGGCCAAATGACCTTGTGCTAGTTACTTGACCTCTCAAGTTTCCTCATTTATAGGAGATTATTAATTACTGTTTATCTGAGAAGGTTGTTGGAAGGATTAAATGAGGTAATGTAAGTAAAGCCCAGGAGAAAACGCCAGGGACATACCATATACTCAGAAAATGTCAGTGTCCTTCTTTTTTATTATTTAAGTCTTTGCATCCTCATCCCTGGCTTAGCCTGTCTGTGGCTAAGCTTGGAGTGTCCCGAGAAGCCTGGCATCCCTGAGACAGGCTTTGCATTAGGCATGCAGCTCTGCAGACTGAGATGATGCTGGTTTGCGTTCCCTTGCAGGTGCGGACTGCCAGTGGCTGGACACGCTGCGCATGCGTCAGATCGCCTCCACCACGGCTCTGCAGCGCTCCCAGAGCAATCCCATTCTGGGGTCACCTTTCTTCCCATACTTGGCGGACCAGGATTCCTATGCGGCTGCGGTGAGGCGGACACAGGTGCCCGTTAAGTATCAACAGATAACGCCTATCAACCAGTCCAGAAGCTCCTCTCCCACTCAGTATGGGCTGACCAAAAACTTCTCCTCGCTACATCTCAACTCTAGGGACAGTGGCTTTTCCAGTCTGAACACTGACAGCTCTTCAGAGCGGGGTCGCTACTCAGACAGAAGCAGGAACAAGTACGATCGCGGTAGTGTGTCGCTCAATTCTTCCCCTCGCGGTAGATACAGTGGGAAAAGTCAGCACTCTACTCCGTCCAGAGAAAGAGATTCTGGCAAGTTCTTCAGGGTGTCTCAGTCGGCTGACTTCAAGAGGAGCCCTAATGACCACCACTTACCCAGGACCATCCCAGGGATGCCTTTGCACCCTGACACTGCCTCTAGAGCCAGCGAAGAGGAAAGCAAAGTGAGCGAGGGAGGATGGACCAAAGTGGAGTACCGAAAGAAGCCGTTCAGGCCCTCTCCTGCCAAGACCAACAAGGACAGAGCCCGAGGGAGCTACCGCGGGCGGAGGACCTTCTGATCAATTCCCTAAGCAGGGTTCTTCCATTCACAACAGGTGTCTTCAGATTCAGTTAACAAAAAGACAACTCTTCCAATTTGGGGATTGGGAAATACCTTTTAATTGAGACTACAGCCAAACCAAGGCCAGAATTATGGTTGTTGGTAACTAGACTTGAAAATAACTACCCAAATTTTCTCCCATGAATTAATATCTGGAGGGAGGGGCTATGCCATCTTTCACCCTGAGCAGTGGCTCGTTAGCAGGACTGGGACTAGGATAAGGCAAGCGAGGTCCACAAAAAAAATCAAAATTCTAGGTAAAGGCAGGGTCAGTGTTACTGAGTTTTTCCTTTCGTCAAAGGCGCCGTTTGGGCTCAGCAATGCACTGTTACTGATTCTGTCCTTACTTAAATTTTTGATATTTTGTTCACAAATTTTTTGCATTGGTTTTATTTTTTAATACTGCATTAAAATACCATTTATCTTGATTATCAGGGTTTTTAAAAAATACCTTCTTGAATTGTGTGCGCTCATCTCAGACCTGCTAGTTAGTTATTTATTTTAGTAAGATATTTGTGTTTTTATTATGGTCAAAAGAGAACTGATTTGGCATGTCATTTTTAGGTAATAAAAATGTTTATTGAACTTAATGTTGATAGCATGGTGTATATATCATTCATTTAAGTTTCATCAGAAACCAGTGGCCTAAGTGGTGGTTTCCTTCCTCAGCTCCCAAAGAAGGAGAAAAGGGAAAAGTGCAACCCATAAAGTCCTCTTGGGATGTCAGAAATCAAAAACCTAATACAGAGCAGGATAGTCACATCACAAGCTAAAAGCAGGGGAAATTTTAAATCACCAACATCCCTGTAACAGGAAGACAGTAAATGCCAGCTTTGCAGACAGACAGCTCTGAGCAGCTTGGGGGAAAGAGGAGACCGCTTGCAGTTTAGGACATGAGTGGCAGAATCCAACTTGTGGAGCTCTTCCTGTTTCACAAATCAAAAGGCCAGGGGGCAACAAGTGTATTATATGTCCAATAAACATTACTTCCAATATTCTAAGATTCCTTCCAGCATCACTGATGCTGCCCATCGCCTGTCCTTCCACCTGCCCAGGACTCTCTGAGCTCTGTAGAAATGTAATTCTGTGGAGCTGAGTTCTCTTTTAATAGAAACCACTCACCCAAGGAGCCACCCTGCTCTAATACTGTACTTAGGGACTGCTGGGGAAAGCTGTATTTGGGTAACGTTGAGGTCAAGTTATAGGAAATGACTTTCATTTACAAGAGAAGCTGTTATGACCTAAACATTGATTCAACAACTTGCTTTTATAAAGATCATCTTGTCTACCATCTGTACTTATTTACAAGCAAAGCAACAGAATGTAAGTCAAAATCAGTGACACAGGCAACATACTTCTAAAGTTTATAAGCCTTCTCCACGGGGACCCTTTCTCACAAAGCCCTTTTCCAATAATTTTTCTCCTTTGTCCTTTATTCATATTTAATTTTTTGGTTGTTTTGGTTTTTTTTTTTTTTTTTTTTCGGACAAGACTCAGGGTTGAACTCAGGGCCTCATACTTGCTAGGTAGGCACTTTACCACTTAAGCCACTCCCCAATCCTTTTTACTTTAGTTATTTTTCACATAGGGTCTCAGATTCTTTGCCTAAGACTGCTATCCTCCTTACCTCTCACATGGTTGGCTTCAGTTATTAAACAGAATGTGTACTTTGGAGATATATTGATGACTCTAGCTTAAAAGGTGCTATCCTTGCTTTTTTCCTTTGTGTTGCTTTCTTGGGGCATGAGTTAGAGAATCCAAGTTGGTAGTAAAATGACTCCATGATGTCAGCTGTTTTAAGTGAAGTTGGTGACCACAAAGAAGTTTTTCCAATCGCTCCCAAAACTGACCACTTTGTAATGTCTCAGAAAACACTCGTCAGCATCAATGTTCCCAGTCAAAATCAAAACAAGAACATCTGCAGTCTGCTTCTTGGTTGTGAAGAAAGAATAAGAGTTAGATGTGCTTTTTTTGTGGATTTTTTTTTCCTCAATGATGCTTATTCACCAGTAGTGGCTTGCCAGGTTGGAAAATGAACATAAATGTAGAGCAGTATCACTTGCAACAGGCTGAGGTTAAAAATCAAAAAAAGGATGGACGGAAGGAAGGAAGGAAGGAGAACTTCATTGTTTTCAGCCAATTTATAGTGAACAGATCTTGAAAAAATAAAAAAAACTGCAATGTCTAAACAATTGACAGTAAAACTTAGAGCAAAATCTAACTTGGAAAAGCTAGGTTAAGAAACTGGCCACACAAGAAAACTCAGTGTGACCAAAGATGTAATTGGTCCAAGTAGAAACTGAAGTATGAGCAAATCGTCACCAGAAGATTTAAATTGATCCCATGGAGGAAAACCAGTATAATTTTTAAAAATTAACACAAAAGTGGGAAATGAGATTATATTAAATAGAAAAATAATCAGGAAATTAAATTGGCAAAATGACATTTACTCCATAATTTTTTTTTTTTTCAGTAGTATTGGGGTTTGAACTCAGGGTCTTGAGCTTGCTAGGTGGGTGTTCTACCACTCCCCCAGCCAGAATTAAGTAAATATTGAGAAATCTTTTTGTCAAGAATTTCAGGGACTGATGGAGTGGCTCACATGGTAGAACACCTGCCTTACAAATGGGAGGGCCTGAGTTCAAGCCACAGAACTGCCAATATTTACTTAATTCTGATCCAATTATTTTATCCATAAATATAGAGTCAAAATGTTCTGGAGTCAAAACAGTGTATCAGAATGCCCAGTACTTCAAAATGGCAGTCAAAACTTCCGACATGCCTCCAGGAGTTCTGACTTCTGTACCTTTTCCAGCTGGATGTACCAGAATATTTTATAAGCTTTCTGAGGCCTTTCTCTCTAATGCAAGTTGGTACAGAGGCTTCTGGAAGGCTGGCCCAGAGACTGCTCTGTCATAACACCCATGATCTGTGCCTACCTGTTCAGGATGTAGCATCATTGGAATTGAAATTATAGACTATATTCGAGGCTGCCAACACTCTTGCCATTGTTGGATTTGAACTGCTACTGTGAGGTCAGGTTGCCCTGAGGAAACAAAAGTGCACTCCTTCCTGTCAGCGTGCTGTTACTGGAACTAGTTTATGAGGTGGGAAAAGTGCCAAATCCATGGTCGAAAACATCAAGAACTAGTGTACCCAATGCCAGTGACTTCTCTCTCACTCTCTTACCTTGCCCATTGCCTAATCAGTGGGCCAAATCATGCCAAATCAATACAGTGAAAGAATGAAGACTGTGACCTCAAGTTCATTCAAAACTAAAATCAAGGTTCAGTAGCGATAACCAGTGTTCCATTTTCTCTACTCTACCAGAGGAATCCCTTCCCTGCCACTTAGCAAAATGTCACTCAGCCTTCAGGGTCTGGTTAACGGAAAAGGTTAGCCATCCTACATGAGCAAGACTTTCACGCAGGCCAAACCTGCCCAACCACACGTAAGCAGGGCAGGCCCTCCCAAAGTGAAAATGCACACAGTCTGAGAAATAACACACCTGTGGTGGAGGCCATCTTCTTCCGCACTCATTCCCAATGGAGCACAAAGTCATCACACAGCCACACTGAATTAGTCACTGACTCTTGCTCGGCTTCCAAACTTCATAACCTCCTGCCAGCTTCCCCTGTCCGTCTACCTAAGTCATACTTCAATGTGCAGCTAAGACATTGCTCCCTCTGGGACAGTTCAGACCCCAGGCCTGAGCCAGGCCTGCCCTGTGTGTACACACACAGTCTTTCTTTACTTGGTCATATTTATGTTCACCATCGTAATTGTCCCCAGGTTTCTCTTTTTTGGTTTTGCTAGCCTCACTAGGCTATCAGCTGCATGAAGGCAGGGATTATGCCTATCTTGGTCACTAGTGTATCTCTAAAGCAAAGAACTTGGTCTGTTTGTTGAGTGAATGAATTAACTAATTAATTGATTAATCAGGCTAACTAACCATCAAATTCTCTTTTTATTTTGGTGGTGCTGGGGATTGAACTCAGGGCTTTTGAATTTTTGTTCTAATTCCATACTCGTTAAATGATATTAACAGGAGTCTCTAATTCACAAAGAGTTAGAGTTAGGTTTAGTGTTAAATTATTGTCATTCTGATCTTTGTGGGGAGCGGTGGGGTTAAAACAGGGTCTCATTTTCTTACTCAGGCCAGACTGGAACTCACTATGTAGTCTAAGCTGGCCTCAAACTTGTGAGCTTGCCTCAGACTCCTGAGTGCTGGGATTATAGGCATGCACCACCTCATGTAGCTGCCATTCTGACTTTATACATCAGTCTCTCGTGAGCCTTGCAATGTGAGTTGGTCCCTGAGCACAAGTCTAGACACTGATTAAGTCCTGTGGCATATTACTAAGAGCAGATTCTGGGTGTGCCAAGGCCCCCCGAGAGCAAGGTTAGCCTGTCTTTCCCAAGAAGCTGCACCTTGTGCTCATTTTCAATGTTGAATTTCTACACTTGACTCCAAATGCAGTCTGTCAATAAACACTTGTCACTGGAATGAAAAAGAATAGAAATATTACGTATGTTCAAGAAAATCACCTGCAATCCTAGCTACGCAGGAGGAAGAGATCAGGAGAATCACAGTTCGAAGACAGCCTGGGCAAATAGTTCATGAGCCCCTACCTCAAAAATACCCAACACAAGAAAGGGCTGGCAGAGTGGCTCAAGTGGTAGAGTACCTGCCTGTGAAGTGTGAGGCCCTGAATTCAAACCCCAGTCCTGCCAAAACAACATCAATGAAAATCACACACAGAGGTATTCCTTTAGGACATTTATAGAATCTAGATATATGGCTTTCCTTTCTTTAATGAATCTAGATGGTTCCTCATCCTAATGTCCTCTACAGTCCTGCTTGATTGTTTCTAAAAGTCCACTGAGCTGCCTGGCATTGTTCTTCTCCTGTCCAAGGCCCCAGGCCTACTGTTAGCTGCCGGATGCCGCCTGTTCTGGCTGAGTTGGGAAGGGGGAGGCTTTGTGTTAGTGCTGGGACAATTCAAGACTTGTCAGCTGGTTGTGGCTGATTATCAAGATGTCCAAACTGGCTCCTTTGCTATGTGTAAGCAATTTAATTTTGTGCCTAATTTTAATCTGCAGCATACTGTATGTCTGCATCTGCTGTGTGGAAGCATTCATTAGCATCTAAAGGGGGGATTGATGGTATTGATCACTCTTATTAAAGCCAAACACAATGGTGCGGCAAGGGCTGATGAGCCTTCTTCATCCGCGGGAGTCACAGCCAGAGTTGATGGACTGGGACACCGGCAGAAACTGAAACTGAAATGTGGGTGACATCTGTTACAGGCACTTTCGGCTTGCCACCACCCTCCCACCCCAGCTCCCCAGATTAGGAGCTGCTTTTATTATTTTTTTAATGTCCTTTTCTTTTTTCGTTTCCACTTATTTTTATTAGTGTATGTTAATTGTACAAAATAAAT